GTGGTTCGCGTCCGCGAAATGGCCAGGACAATTCCAAAGAACACGATATTCTCGAGCGCGAAAGATACCCGTACCCTTACCTAGACAGGGTGGCAAGGGGCCGGGGGGGCGGTTCGTCGCAGCTGACGGCGGCTGCACAAGTGTAGAAACGACAGCCGATCGAGCATTACAGACCACTGCCTTCTCGGGGCGCACGTTGGCACCGATCGCACGTGCGTTCGAATCGGCGGAGTGCCCGACCCTGCGCTGGTTGTTGTCGATGTAGACCAGCTACTGCGGAGGCGCGCCCCCAGACACACATCCGGGCGTTGAGGAGTCAACGCGCACTCGGGGGCGCATGCGAGCAACTCTGGCGCGAACGTCATTGCGCGACAAACGCCCTATCGCGAATTGCTCGGTGCAGAAACATCGCGAATCTGTGCCCTGGGCGAGGTCGCCAGAGGCCGCCCCCCTTGGACGGCCGTCCGCGGATCACCCCAGCTAGGTACGGTTGCCCCATGAAAACCCCAAAAAACATACCCGTACCTAGCCGGGGTGCCGCAGCTCACCCCAGCTAGGTCCGGGTATGTTTCGGTGGTTTCAGGCAGGTCCCCGTACCTAGCCGAGGTGGCGGCAGGCCCAAAACGCTCTCGAGCACATTTCATGCCCTCCAGAGCCGTCCCCGACGTGGCCGCTGCGGCCCCCTTGGGGCGCGACGTTGCAATGTCGTTCCTCAGGCCAGGCCCAGACGCATTGGTTGCCAGGATAGCGAGGAAATGCAACTCTTGATCGATTGGGACAGGCACCGCCACATATGGGCGGCTTTGAACCGCGCACGCACCACGATGCCCCGAGACGTCCCTAACAAAAACCAGCGTTTGTCGCTGCAATCAGACACCCAACCATCGAGCGCGCCGATGCGTCTTAACGCGCGGATGCTGCACTGGCGCGCGCGGGGCAAGCTGACCGGGCACAATAGCAAGCGCCCAGTCCCCCGGGCGGCCCATCTCACCTTGGCTGGCCCCGGGTGCGGGTATCTTTCGGACCAATGAGATATGGTGAAAATCGAGGCTTGGCCAACGCAGTTAGAAGCACTGCAGTCACCATGAAATTATCAAATCTGCCCCACGTAATTGGCTGACTTGCACACGCTCCATACACCGCCACGCCAGACATGGGCCCATCGCCCGTGACGAACGTTCGGGCTCAAATGGGAGGAGGGAGAAAAAGACGACGACTGGACTGAACCTGACTATGAAGCCCGTCAAACACAAAGACCAGACCGGCCCGCATGATGAGGCCCGGCTGAGCTGACATAAGGTCTGGCCTGGACCTGCCACGGACCGAGACATGTCTGCAATCTGCGACGTGTCAGACGGGAGACGTTAGAGAAGAACGCGGAGGTAGTTAGCACTGGCGCAGGACGGGGGCACGAGTGTAAAAGCGAAGATACCTGACACCTCTTCTTCATACTTCTTGTCCCCCTTGTCTTTCGTCCTCCTCCTAGCTCTTCCAACTTCTCCCCGCAAGGCAATGAACACACAGATGCTGGGGATACGTGCTTTGCTGCTAGCGATCTCGAGCCGCACACGGCCAAGCTGGCCCACGTCGTGGATGAACACATCCTTCATGCAAACGAATCAACGAGGCTGTCGCTTGCGAAGCCGTTATCATCAAAACGATCTGCAATCTGATTGATCGTCCACCATGCCCACTGACTTACATGGATGGCCAAATCCGGGAGGCAAGTATGATGCTGTTGCAGAGGCTGGCCGAGCTCGCGTGCCACCCACATAACATCGCGCCTTCACAACTCGAAATTCAAAATTGATGTGGAAACCGCGTCGCCATATCTGACAAGCACTGCAAGGATACGTGACATTCAAGTCGCTCAACTGCACAGAAGATTGAGGTACCAAGCAATTACCACAGGATGTGAGAATACTGCTCGAGCAAGACAAGGGCAAACTGCCTATCCAAAACAATTCCTACCAACCTTTCTTGGTGTGGGTCGCTTCAGAATCAGCTCTTCCGAAACCGACGTTTCTGCCCTTGCTCCTCCCAGGGGGTCTGGACCAGGGGGCATGATGGATTCCAGCGTCCAGGTTTGCCTCAAGTTTTGGCATGCTCGCAATTTCCCTGGTTTGGCTTCGTTTGGGCGCAATTTCGACTGAGACGTCCTCGCGATGTGCCTGGTTTGGCTGCGGCTTCGCTTGAAACGTCCTCGTAGTATGTTCGATGTGTTATGACTTGGGGCGGCTTGCGCCTACAGTGCCTTCATAAATGGCTTGGTTTGAGATGGTTCGGGCAACACATCGCTTGCGAAAGCGTCCATATGTGTCCCGCGATTTAGGCTACGTGGCGCCAGCTGTGCAGTGTAAGTTATGTGGTGTACGCCCACATCATCGCAAGCCATGCGGTTTAAGCTCTGTGGTGCAAGTTACGTGGCGCGATGAAAGATATGTGATGCAAATCCACATCGTCGCAAGCTATGTGGTGTAAGCTACGTGGTGATGTTGATCAATGTGTGTGGTGGACGCTATGTGGTGTAGTGAATGTGACGCCAATTATGTGGTGCAAGCAGTGTGGAGTAAACCCGCATCATCGCAAGCTCTACGGTGTAAGCGATGTGGTGCGAAGTATGTGTGCAAACCCAAATTTCTGCGCTATCGGTAACGAGCGGCCTGCTGCAAGCCGGCGTTGGCCCGGTGTCCAGCGTTAGGGTCAAACTATCCCTAATATTTTTCCTAACGCGACACCGTTGCCCAGGTAATCGTCGGAAGGCACGAATGCTGTTACGCCCTGGCCACATACATGCTGCTGCGCCCCAGCCACATACATCCGCTTACGGCCCGACCGCATATATCAATCGTTCGTGGAGAAGCCGCGGTGAGGCCACAAAAGCGGGGGGGGCGCGCAAGAGCCACAACAACTCAATGATTCCATAACACTTGCAATTTAACTCTATCACCTTTGGACAGACCCAAAGCACCCCATAACATTCTAATTGCAGGACCCCCCTCTGCGGGGGGACCCTTTCGGGTCATCCACTCCTATATTTAAATCTATTTAAATATGATTGGCTTCAGTGGGTAGAGACTGGCTCGGGGCGTTTCGCCCTAGACATTCGAAGAATCTGCTCGATTTGGGCCCCTGTTTTGGCCTGGTCTGGCTTGGTGTGGACTGGTTTGGCTGGGCGCTCGCATGAGACATCCTCAGAATTTGCCTGGTTTGGGCCCTGGTGTTGCCTGGTTTAGGGCGGGTTTCGCTTGGGACGTCCTCACAATTTTCCTGGCTTAGTTTTGTTATGGTGCGATTTCGCTTGAGGCGTGTTCACGCTTTGCTCAGCTTGTCTTGGTCTCGGAGCGGACTCGCCTGATACAAATTGCATGGTTTGGTTTTGCTCCGGTGCGGTTTCGCCTGAGGCGTGCTCACGAATTCCTTGGTTGAGCCTCGTCTGTGCGCGGTTTCCACTGAACGTCCTCGCGATTTTCCTGGTTTGGCTGCGCACTCGCCCTTCCCTGGCTTGGTCTCGAAACAGGTCAGGCCCGCCACGTTGCAGCACTCCGAGCTGTAGCAGTCCTCGTCCCGGTTGGACCACCGGCCGCGCGGGGGGATGGAACTCGTCTGCTGCTTGCCCTGGCGGATCGGGCCGGGCGAAAGGGGGGGACAGCAAAGGGGGGAGGGGAGAATCAGCTCACGTAGCTGATTTTCCCCGGCGCCTCCCGGCGGCGGGAGGCGCCCCATGTATCGAGGAATGGGCCCGGCGGCGGGGCCGAAACCAGCTGCATGCCGCAGATGTCGTAGCCCCCCCCGCTTTCCCTACTCCCCCCCGTTCGCTCGGCCCGAGCGGAGACCCGCGCCAGAGGCCGCCCCCGCGCAGCGCAACGTGCGCCGCCCTCCCCCACGCGCCCTGGCCGGCCAGGAGCAGGAGCCTCGCGGCCGCGCCGCCCGCCGCTCGCGACGGGCGCGAGCATCCTGGACCAAGAGCTGCTCCGACCCGCTCTCCTCGCCGTGGCCCCTGCAAGCTCCACGCGCTCTATGGCCGAGGTGGCTGGTGGCAGGTTACGCCGAAACATTGGTATTCGCAGGGCAGGCTGGCGGCAGGAACATCTTGAGCAACAGTGGCCACGGATGGAAAAGATGGCTCCACGAAGGCCCCAAGCAGTCAAATATGGTCTCCTGCAGCATGCCTCGACAGGCTCTCATGCCGCTCCCAAAATTGCTCCATGTGGCCACAGAGCATCCCAGTGAGGCCCCCGAGATGCCCAAACCCTTTCACAGCCTGAGGGACAATCATGGTGAGTTGCTTTCCCACCTTTCCCCTTCCGATGGGCGGTGAACGCCTCAAGATGGACCCAAGACGGACTGCGAGGGCCACAAGAGGGGCTCAGTGGCACACCCAGGGGGGCTTCAAAACAGCATCCATGAGCGCCCCAAGTGCGCCCAAGAGGGCACAGAGAAACGATACCTCGCGCTCAAGAGACGACTAGGCCAATTTCATGTCTCCCCCTTTGCTCGTTCGATCCATCGAAAATGGTTTCATGCGGGCCCCAAATGCCCCACAACGGACAGCGCCTGCTCGCCAAATGGCCCCAAGAGAGCCCCAGTATTGCTACCCCAACAGAAGCCCACAAGTATAAGGCCCAACGTGAGACTTGCGAGACCCAAGCTCGCCGACCTAACGTGCCAAAGGCGTGGGATATTCTCGGTTTAGCGTTTACGCATGATCTACCTGCTGATGCGCAACCGCGGGGCTACCCAATGGAGGTCCCGGGAAAATGGGCGGGGCAATTAGGGAGGCACTCGATTTCTTGGGTCGCCAAGCCACGGGGCCCAATGCCGCTCCCCATGCCCCTCGTGTTATCTCCACACCCTCGCGTCGCCTCATGAACAAACACAGGAAACAACCCCTTCCACGGCTCTACCTGGCCCAAACCGCGACCCGCGAGGCGCGGGCATCTTCGAGCTACTGGGGGTGACCTGGGGTCCCTATCGGCTTCCCACCGAAGCGCGGGGAGAGCACCTGGCCGGGTGGTTGCACAGGTTGGCGACCGCGAGCCTGTTGCCGTGCCACAGCCGCGGCACCGCCGTGGCGGCGGATTCCCAGGAGGCATGTCGGAATCGTATTCCCCCCCCCCTTCCTTTCACATCCCGTATCCTTCCGCGCGCATGCGCACGCTCCCGCGTGCTGTGCGGGAAAATCGGGATCGGGATCGGCGTGGGGCGAATGCGAGATTAGCCAGCGCTTGCGGGGCAGGGCGCGGGAGGCAGTGGCCTAAGACCCAGGGAAGGAGGAGGAGGAGGAGGAGGAGGAGGAGGAGGAGGAGGAGGAGGACAAGGAAAAGGAGAAGGAGGAAAAGTAAGAGGAGGAGGAGGAGGAGAGGAGGAGGGAGGAGCGGGACGACGAGGAGGAGGAGGAGGAGGACGAGGAGGAGGAAGAGGACGAGGAAGGATGGAACAAGGGAGGGTGGGAGAGTCGAGCGAATCAAACCGGCCTTGGGGGGCGGCCAAGTGTCACAATGGAGCAATTTAACAGACGCTTGTGGGCGTCACGCTGTGACCACATATGGGGCCTGGAACGCCCCGAACGACCACAACCACACTACCATTCGTCATCAGCCCGCGCTGCCCCGTCGGAGGCGGTCCGCGAAACAAGCGCGCAACGCTGGGCGGATACGGACTGAGAGGGGGAGGGGTTCCATCGCCCTCAACCGTTTATTTCAATGTGTTCTCGGTCGCCATCTCTGCGAGCCTGGGCGAGGGGGGCGGATGCTTCTATATGCACCCACTTTCTGACTACCAGCTCGGAAGAGCCACGCGCGTAGGCAGATGCAACAGTTCGCTGCCTGTGCGGGTGCCTGGTCGTTGAACAAAACGGATAAAACATGCAGAGAGAGAGAGAGAGAAAGACCAACACAGAGACAGAGAGCGGCTCCCGCGCGTGCTAGACAATCTTGCAATTGCCCGGCTCGTTGCAAGGACGGGGAAAGGACAAACGCAACACAGGAGAAGAGAAAAAAGAGAGACGAGGATAGGATGCGCGGCCTCTCAGATTCACCGGTTGGCCGTCCAAGTCGTTGGCCAATCGAAAACCTCGGTTTCTGCCCAAGAATCATATGCCTTCCCGCAATTGCAGCGCAGAGTCGAGGATATCCAGGGGCCAACCCTCCAGATCGGCGCCCGGCGTCTTCGACCCCATCCGTGTCATGGAGACCAGGTTATCATCGATCATGTCACCGAGTTGGTACTGCGCCAGCATGGTATGGTTGACGGTGTCCTCCAGCTCCTTCTGCGTGCCCACGAGCGTAAACTTCTCGGACACATGTTGCATGTCGAGCCCGCCAATGGTCGCCTAGTCCCCCCTCTCGATCTTTTCCTGGTCCCGTCCTTGAAGGTCTCATTGAAAATATCCTGCTGCAAGGTGGAGCGGGGTGTGGGGCAATTTTCTGGGCCAGTCGCGTCGGTGTCGGAACCGTCCAGATCCTTCTCGGACTCTGGCGCGCAGTGGATAAACTGCGCATCGAATTCTGGCTCCCATGCCTGGTCGTCTTCTGAACATTGGCAAGTGGAGAAGGGTGGTATCTGCTTGAGCGGCCGGGCCGCTCGCACAGTCAGCTCGCAGATCGCATGGCTTGGTGCGATGTTCGCGAAATGCAACACAATTGTCGTGAGATGCAAGGGCTGGTCAGTATCTGTGGCATCGCCTCAGCCAGAATAGCTGGATCCCTCGTGCCTCGCTTGGCTGCGCGCTGGCCGGACGCGCCTCTCTCGTGATATTCAATGCTTCGGTGGTGGGACATCGCTCTCAGATCGTGAGGATCAATACGCGCATCGTGAGGTGTAGCATAGGGCTCGCATAGCCGGGTGATCGGGCAGTTCCACGCGGGGATCGTGAGGTATCGTCTGTCAGGACGTAGTCAAGCAGCTCGGCTGGCGGTGAGCGATTGCGATGTGCAGCTGGTTTTCGTTGCAAGGGATGTGGCCCGCCCTGTAGACATCATCAATGGTGTAGAGTCGCACGTGGCGTTCACTTTCCCAAGTGTCTCATCAGGTGGCCAACATTACCGCTCTGGCTATCGCCGTTGCCTCTGCAGTGCATGCATCGTTAGGTTCAGCACGCTGTTGATCGCGAGACTCAACTCATTCATCGCGAGGCTCAGCACGTTGATTGCAAGGTTCAATACGATGATCGTGAGTCTCGGATATTAGATAGCGGGGCTCAGCTTGTTGGTCGTCGGGTTCGGCGCGGTGATCCCGAGGTTCTGCTCGTTACTCGCGATATTTAACGTGTTGATTTTGGGACCCGCCCGTAGGCTGTGATGTTCCGCGTGTTGAAGGATACGCCCGACGTGGCAAAAATCCACCGAATGGTTCTCGCCTTTCTGTCGGGCGTTGGCAGAACTGGGTTTAGTGGGACCTGATTTAATGATGTGTACTGGGGACGCCCCCCCCCCGCCCGTTCCAGTAACCGGAAGTGCCGTCACCCGGAAAAGCACCAGCTACGGCAGACCTGGTTTAGTGACTCTGGCAAACTTATGTGCTCCAGGGCCCTACTACTAAACGCGTCCCCTTACCTGGGGTCTTGCCTGGGCGGTTCCACACGGGGGCCGAGCGGTTCCGCGTGTTGAGGGCAAGATTCGGCGTGGCGACGGCTATCCTGCGTCTTTGTCCTCCATCTCCTCCTCCTCCTCGTCCTCCTCCTTGGTGCGCGTATCGCTGGGTTGCATACGTAGACCGTGAGGTTCAGCGCGGGGGTCGCGAGGTACAGTCTGGGGCTCGCGAGGTTCAGCCCGTACAGTCAAAACGTATATGAAGGATGGGTAGTAAGGACGCAAGACCCTTGGAGGCTGAAGTCGGGATTTTTTGGGCGGCGGCGACCAGTGAAAACGGCAAAGGACGGGCCGCAGAGGCAAGGACGCAAGGGCATCCTAGATGAAGGCGCGCGTCCATACTAGGCGCGTTGACTGTAGATCGCGTGGGGGCGCCCCGTTGATCGTGAAGTCCAGCTCCTAAATCGAGGAAATCATAATCCAGGCCGTAGGCGCGACTTGCGGTGGCACGGCCCCTGGCGAGAAAAGCCTCGAGGGTCCACGTGGCCATCGTGGGAGGGTTCGGCTCCTCTACTCGCCTCTCCTCTTGCTCCTCCTCGTATGCTTCCTGGGTGGGACTCCTCTCCTCCTCAGCTTGCCTTTGTCTCCTCTGCCTAATTATTGATTTTCAGGTTGGCCTTGTCTGCTCGCCTGCATTTCTCATTCTGTGCCATCGTGGTGGCAGTCCTGTCCACCGCTGCTCTCCTTGTCTCCACTGCCCCCTGGCTTGCTGTTCTCTGTGGCGCCTTCTCAGCGGCCTTCCTGGTGCAACATGCAATCCTGGCCTCCTCTGTTTTTCTGGCCTCCGCAATATTCCCGGCTTCCCCCTGTTTCCCTGGCCTCGCTCGCCGCGCAGGGTCCGCCCTGGACAACCGCAGCTTCCTCGTCGACACGTCCGTTCCACAAGTTGCCGCGCCCCGCCCCGCGGCGCGGCAACTTGAGGAGGAGGAGCAGGAGGAGGAGGAGGAGGAGGAGGAGGAGGAGGAGGAGCGTCCCCCTCGCCAAGCCCCGCCCCGCCCCTCCCAAGGAGGCCTCGCCCCCTTCCCTGGACGCTGCCGCTGGCCGCCCCGCCAGCTGGAGCGCGCTCTGCGGGGGCCCATCCTGGTCGCCGACAGCCCCCCGCCGCCTCGGGACGCCCCTCCCACCGGCGCTGCTGTGCGCGAGGGCGTGCGCCCTGCCTCCTCTTCTAAGGGGAAGCCAGGACGAGGATACAGTAGGGACCCGACCATGAAACCTTTCGCAAGAAACCCAACCCTGAAACCCCAGGACGTCCATTGATTTTTGGTGTGGGCACGTCACGCTTCCCATAGCAAAACCAGCGCAAACCCAAGAAACCCAGGGCACCCTGGAGGCAAGCAGGGTGTTTCTTGGCATGGTCTCCATTGCACATTCGGGTGAAGACAAATCGAGTCTCTGAGGTCTGGCGGCTTTGGAGGATGTCTTGCGCGCCGCGGCCTTCTCGGAGCGGTCCGGCACGCTCTGGGAGCGTTCCGAAACGCTCTGGAACGGAGTTGTCCTCGTCCTATAGCCCCGTCCGTCTCCCTCCTCTCTCCTTTCTGTCCCCCCCTCCTCACCCCCCCTTCTCTTCTCCTTTCTGCCCTCTCCCCGGCAGACATGGCGGCCCCAACGGGCGCATGCTTCCCCCATCCCCAGGCAGCCATGGCGCCATGGCGGCCCCAACGGGCGCCTGCTTCCCCCATCGGGTTGCACTTCGATGAGGCCCTGGTCACCGGACTGGTGTGGCTCCTGCGCCAATGCACAAGATAGAAGAAGACAAAACAGCATGAACAACAAATTTTTGGCGCTCCGCGCGGATTTCTTGGATCTGCGCTGGACCCCCCTCCCTGGCGCGCGGAGCGCACCAGGGGCGGCGCCGGAGGCGCCGCCAGTGGGGCCCAACTCGGATCCAAGAAATCCGCGATGAGCGCCAAAAGTTTGTGTTTGTGCCGTTTTCTCTTCTTCGATTCGAGGCTCTAGTAAAGCCTGGAGCTCTTCTCTGGAAAGCCAGGCCCCTTGATGGCGACCGCCGACGGCCCCAGCTCAAGCGCAGGCGCCTTGCTGCCCAGCGGATGCCGGCCTGCCTCTCCGGTGGCTTCGGCGCTGCCCCCCTTCGGCAACTCGGACTGGTCGCGCACCTTCTGGTGCACCAAGTTCCCGTGCCTGAGGTCGCCTGCGCAGTCCTCGTAGCGAACATTCACAAGGCCTGAGGCTTCCTCCCGCGTTCCTCCTCCTCCTCCTCCTCCTCCTTCTCCGCGGCCGCCCTCGTCTTCCCCTAATCGCAGATGCGTGCTCCCAATTCCTGCGCGGCCCGCCGGAGAATCAGTGACGAACGCGTTGGCGTTCGCCCTCGCTTACCTGACTTTCTCCTCATACTTCGTATGTTCCTCATTTTTCTGCCTCGTCTTGGCCTTCCTGGTGCCCCCATGTCATCCTGGTCTCCTCTGCCACTTCTGTTCCTTTCACCTCTGCCTTTCTTGCCTCGTCAGCCTTGTTGGTGTACTCCTCGAATCCCCGCTGGCTCGGCTGGACCAGCTCGTGGAACAATGTTTCTGCCCAACGGCCGCGCGGGTTTTCGAGGGCGTCGCCGTACCCGTCGACCATGTCGCCGCAGTAATCGTAATGTTAGTTCTGCTAGCCGTAGAAACCTTAGTGGCCGTGTGTACTTGAGCTCGCCCCTGTTAGCGCCATGCCTCGGGGCGAGAATCGGGGCATCGGGGTTCCGACTGGCGCGCGCATCGCGAGGTTCCGTCCGTTGATCGTGAGGGTGTGCACGCAGATCGCGAGGTTCAACACTTTGGTCGTGCGGATCCGCCCAGCGATCGCGAAGCTCCGTACGAGGATCGTGCGGTATTGCACGTAGATCGCGCGGTACACTACGCGGATTTTGAGGTTCAGCACATAAGCCGTGGATCGTGGAATTATGCTCGACAACCGCGTTCAGATCGGTGGGCGGGGCTTGCCAAGGACGCCATCACGAGCGGCCGTGGCGATGATCATGGTGTCGTCGGGTCGCGGTTGTATCCCGTGTCGGTCGCAGTGTTCTTCTCGGGCCGCATCTGTTCGCGCCCGTGCTCTTTTATGTGTCTGGCGTTGGCAGAATTACTTGCTGGTAAATCTCCAGTGGGGCGGGGTGGGTAAGTCTCGTAGCGGTTGCCTTCTTTATTTCCTGGATGTCATCGCATTGGCCTGAGGTTCTACCTGCAGATCATGAGGTATCGCGTCGGCGCCGCGGCCTTGGGCGCCCCGCGTCAAGCGGGCGCGAAAGGGGCCAGAATGGCTCTCTGCCTCCCCCTCCTCGACTTACTCTTCTTCTTCCTCCTCCTCCGCCTCTTTCCCCCCCCCTCCTCGTCCTCGCCCTCGTCGTCCTCTTCCTCCCCCCTCGCGCCCCCCCTCCTCCCTGGATTTTCCCCCTCCCCCCTCCGTCGCGCCAACGCCATGGCCAGCCGGAGGCCGAGGCGGACAGCCGGCCGCTCGTGAACCGGGAGTCCCGCCAGCTCTTCAGCAGCGGGTCCTCCGGGGCGGCCGCGGGTGCCGGCCGGGCCTCGCTCTGCTGCCCAAGGCGCGTCCGCGGGCTTTGCCCAGATCGACCGCCGCGCGACCGCGCGACCGCTCCCAACTCCCCCATCCACTTCCACCTGATCCTTCGCTCTCCTCCTACGTCCTCATGGCCCTCCTCCTGCGCACTCTTCCCTCTGCCCACTCGTCGTCGTCCTCCTCCTCCTCCTTCTCCTTCTCCGCCTCCGCCTCATTGTCTTCCTCCTCCTCCTCCTCCTCCTCGTCCTCCTCCTCATCAACACCCAACTCTTCCTCCGTTTGTCCTCCTCCCTTCCCACTCCGTCCTCCCCTCCTCCCCCATTTTCCGTGCTGTCCTCCTCTTCCTGCGTGCTCCTCCTCCTCCTCCTCCTGCTCTTACGTCGTCGTTGTCGTCGTCGTCGTCCTCCTCCCCTCCTCCTCCTCCTCCTCCTCCTGCGCACTGCTCCGCACCGCGTCCACAACTCTCCCGCCCAGGGCCCCGAGAGAGAGGCAGGGCCCAGGGCCCCTGTCGCTCCTCCCGCCATTGCCGCGGCAACCAATCCTTGCCGACCGCACGCCGCCCCTCTTCGTCAGAACGGCAGCACCCGCGGCTCGACAAAGCCGGGGATCGACGGCGACGGCGACGACTGCTGCTCTTCTGATCTGATCTTAGGTTGGAGGAAGAAACAACTAGGGATCCCACAAACGACATACGACATACGCGCCCAACCACTTACATGAACACGGCTCTCCAATCCGCGAGACCAGCCGCGTGATATGAACGTTCGCGCAATGCGTACTCTCGAAATCAACGTGTATTCATGTACGTGTACGTCCGTCTTTCGCTCCTGAACAAGGGCATGCGGCATTAACATAAGCCTTCGGAACTACGCGCTGACTTTTTTGGAATCGGCGCTGGGCCCTGCATCTGGCGCCGTCCCTGGCGCGCTCCGCGCGCCGAGGAGGGGGGGCCAACCCCGATTCATGGAATCTGGGCGGAGTTCCCACAGTTCATGCGCATGCAGTTGTTGTATCCGAACAGTGCGTACACTTCGGAGTTCTGACTTCTGTGCCTAAAGAAATGGATGAGTCCACCGAGGATGTTCCACTTTGCCACCCGTGGCCGCCTCGTGGACGCCTCGTGCGCTGGGTGGGTCTGGCGAGGTTTCGCCACGTTGCCGCCCGTGGCAGCCTCGTGGCCGCCTCTAGCCTGCACCACCACGCGCGTATGCTTTACCACATGGCTTAGCTTCTACCTCATAGCTTGCACCATATACGTAGCACCCTGCAGTCTCGGATAAGAATGAGGGGACGGCGGGGACGGCGGCAGTCTGCGACGCGCCATTTTTTTGTATAAAAAACAACAACGAGCCTGTCGCAGGCGCCGACTTTTCGTCAAAGCAATGTGGGTGGGTCGCGTGTGTGTCGCGGGCCTGGTCGCGGGTGGGTCGCGAATGGGTCGCGGGGTGGGTCGCGGGCGGGTCGCAGGGTGGATCGCGGGTGGATCGCGGTGGGTCGCGGGTGGGTCGCGGGTGTGTCGCGGGGTGGGTCGCGGGTGGGTCGCGGTTGGGTCGCGGGTGGGTCGCTGGTGTGTCGCTGGTGGGTCGCGGGCAGGGTCGCGCGTTGGACGACCAACAAAAAATAGCAAGTCAACAACAACAACAACATCACCACCACCACCACCACCACAACAAACAACAACATCAACACCACCACCACCAACAACAACGACGACGACAACAGCAACATCAACACTCCGCACCGCGGAACCTCACTTCAACCACGCGCCCGGGGACAATGAATGACCGTTCGGCCCCCTGACTCTGACCTTCCTGGCCGCAATTCAATAACTTACTGTTTGGGGTCCACGCCGGCTAACAATCTTCCTCCGCGAATTGCACCTTCGTGTGCACGACCCATCTGCCTTTCATGCCGTTATGGCGCGCCAGGACTTGGACGCCCGGATCCATGGGGTAGCCCACGAAGGAGGAGGGAGAGGCGCTCCGCTGAACACCCCTCCCACTAACTTCACGGTGGCTACGACTCCTCAAACACCACCCGCGGCCTGGAAGCGGCCCATGCCCGCCGGAGGTTCAAGCTGCGCGCGGCACGGATGCCGGCTGCAAGCAGGAATGGCCCTGGGTGTCCTTTGATGTGCGGATTTGGAGGGACGCGGGGTGGGCGAATCCAAGCGCGCAAGCAAAAGATGGGGGGACCTCTGTGGACCCGCACCCAAGAGTTCACTCCAGCGAAGGGTCAATCTTAGCCTCTGGGCGTAGGTGGTTCAACAAGTTTTGTCTTCTCTCTGGCAAAATCCTTCCTTCCCCTGCTTGGGGGAAGGGTGTTCCCCTCTCCCTACCCCCTCCCCTGGGCCTGGGAGGCGGGGTGCCGCAACCCATTGGAGCGTCCAAGATGGCCCAACATGGCTCCAAGAGGGCCTCAGAGAGCCCAAGATGGCCTCCAAGAGTGTCCGAGACTTCAAAATGGCTCAAGATAGTCTCCGACATACGTCCAAGAGGCCCCAAGACAGCCTCAATACCGTTCCAAGTGCCCTTCGAACCGCCCAACGAAGCCTCCAAGAAACCCAAATCCTACACAAACGCCTAAGAGAATCGATGTGCTTGGCCTTCTCGACTTTTCGTTTCCGACACGCTTTTGAGACCTCAAGATGGCCCTAAGATGGTCCAAGAGATCCCCAAGAGAAGCCCGAGAGGGTCCCTAGACGGCCCCAAGAGCGCCCCAGAGCGTTCCAGCAGCGGCCCAAGAGGACCCCAAGGCAACATTTTGGAGCCTCCAGGGGGGGGGGGGGGGGAGAAACGTGGATTTATCACCCCCCTCTCTTAGAGCCATGGGGCCCAAGACGGGCCCAAGAGGCCTCCCAGACCCCCTAGAGGAGCCCCAAGACGCCCCAAAAGAGCACCAAAGATGCCTCAAGAGGCAAGAGCCGTTGAACAGATAAAGGACAACCAATGTTTTTGCGCTCTCGCCTTGTCGCTTCGGATGGCCCTCCGAAGCCTCAAGATGGCTCGGACTGCAGGGTATTGCAGGGTCTTTGCAATGTCTCTGTAGGGTCACTGGGTCTTTGCAGAGTCGTTGCAAGGGCTTATGCAAAGTCTTTGCAATAGGGTTTTCAATGAGCTTCCAAGAGGCTCGCGGAGCGAAATCTCCGCGACGGTTCCATAGTTGACTCGTAATCGTAATTGTAGCTGTCGCTTTCATCGTCGCCTCTTTCTTCCTCCCCATATATCAAATTACTGATTCATCCTCTTCTTCCTTTCTTCTTCCTCCCGTTCTCCTTCCCTCTTTCCTCCTCCCGTTGCCAAAGATGCCCTCTCCGTCCCGGGATGGTTTTAAGATAACTCCACGATGGGCCCCAGAAGACCCCAACGGAGCCGCCGCGCCACGGGACAATTCGTTACATAATCCACCACGTGTTCCCACCCTTTCGGCGCCCCCGAAGCACTCTCACGGTTGTTGTTCCGCTGCATGCTTCTACACTTCCCTGATCAAGGCCACTCGCCTGGTGATCAGTCTCTGGATGGGCTGGTGGAGACAGGAGCGCCCAGAAATGAATCGATACATCGGGTCGGCGGTCGAAGTGAATCGGACCGGCGGACATCGGCACGCTAGAAAGCCTCCACTGAGAAATCGGAATCCGAATCGGAATCCCGAACCGAATCGGATCGGGAGCCATCGAAATCGAATCGAACCCTGGGTGGGGATTTTTGTTCGCGAGCGCAAGCGGAAGAGCCGCGCGCCGTCAGGGGATTGCCGACTAGCAGCGACCTAAAGTACAGCGGCCTAGAAAGAACCGAACGCGCGCAGCAGACAGGCGGCGGGTAAAAATGCCACCTAAGCGGCGGAAGCGGGCTCGACCGCAGCTCAAACCCGGGTGGGGATGCTTTTCTCGGTCGCGCCCGCGAGCGAAGGCGCAGGCGGAGTCAGAAGCTGTCCGGGGCGCGGAAACAGGCCCAATTAGCTACTAGGCGCGCAGCAGCCGGCCGGGCCAGCTCACAAAGCAGCTGCTGAGCCGCGCGGTGAGGCTGACTGGGTGGGGATACGCGGAGCGTTGAGACTTCGTGCGCGCAGCCGAGCGGATGGGCACCTGTGCGCAGAGAGAGCGCCGGGCCTCGCGGTCACCAGGGGGGGGGGCGGCGCAGGCGCGGCGGGAGACGGCGAAGCCCGTCTGGATCAATGGAGACTCCCTCGTAGCCGTTCCCGAACAGCATGTCGCTCCGCGGGAGCCTCTCCTCAGCTTGCCAAGTAAGACGAAACCAGGGCGAGGACAAATTCGGGTGAGGATGCATCGAGAATCTCTGAGATCCGGCGACTCTGGAGGATGTCTCGGGCGCCGCGGACTTCCCTGAGCGTTCCGGCAAACTCTGAGCGCGTTCCGGAACGCCGCGTTCGGACTTGTCCTCGTCCCAGCCCCGCCAGACAAGGTGCAGGAGTTTGCGGCCGCCCACGTTGGCCACAAACTCACGGGGCCGGCGAGCCGCACCGCAACCTCGATGCGTCGGCGATGCTTCGGCGACGTCGGGGCCGAAGGGAAGCGGGCTCTGGATCCCACGACCCTCCGACCCCTCATCTGGGGGGCCCAGATCAGCGGCAGGAGGCTGGAATGGAAGAACAAAAACATACCGATACCGCTACTCCGACGATCTCTCGTTTGGCCAGGACTTCGAAGCGACTCAACAGGCGCGGAGAAGAATATCGGTAGATCTTCTTCCTCTAATGGAATGCGAGGTCGAGCAAACGAGGCGCGGGAGCAGAGCAGCGAGGTGACACATGTGGGCGCTTCCATACCGGCGGACTTTCCAAACACTCCTGTGCTGATGGTGGGCCCTGTCTTCCTCCTTCTCCTCCTCCTCCTCCTCCCTCCTGCCTCTGCCATCCGCATGCCCATTTCGGCACACCCCTCTTACGTTTCGTGGACCCATGGGGAGCTCCACCGAAGCCTCCAGGGGGTGGTGCGGCACAACGTCCCCCCGCCCGTTTCGGCACACCCCTCACACGTTTCGTGGCCCCGTAGGGAGCTCCACCCACGGCCTGGCTCGGCCCGACGGCATAGCGCCTCCCTGCCCAGTTCGGCACCCCTCACACGTCTCGTGGCCCCAGAGGGCAGCTCAACCTGCCGTCTCAGCTTGCAAGAGGCTGCGAAACGAGTGGGGTCCCCTTCGCCCGACGCGCCCCTCCAACGCTGCGAGGACTCCGCCCGGTGATTTTGCAGAGACCATGGGCTGTAGGAGTGGCAAACTCTGACTGGAACTCAAGAGGCGTGGCAAAGCCCAACTCCTGATGTGTCTGCGGGGCAGTGAGATCGCACAAGGCGCGATGACGACGACGAAGACCACCACGACGACGACGATGACGTGGAAAACGACGACCACGACGACGACGACCACGACCACGACCACGACGACGACGACGACGACCATGACGACCTCGATGACGACGACGACGACGACGACATCGACGATGACAATGACCGCGACGACGACGACGACCACCACGACGTCCACGACGTCCACGACGACCACGACGACCACGACGACCACGACCGACGACGACGACGACGCACGACGACGAGGACGAGGTCGAGGACGATGACGGACGACGACGATGACGGACGACGACGACCACGACGACCACGACGACGGCGACGACGACGACCACGACGACGACGATGACGACGGGCGAAGGGCGACGGACTCAACGCCCCCCAGGGTCTCGCACAGAGTCCTGCCCTTCGCGGGCCATACCCTGCCAAGACTTGAGCCTCTTAAGCCTTGGGCCTCCCCGGCCCCGGTTCCGGCGGCTGGCCCCCTCCGTGGCATGAAGTTAAAAAGGGTCCTCCTCCTCCTCCTCCCTCCTCCTCCTCCTCCTCCTCCTCCTCCTTCTCCTCCTCCTCCTCCTCCTCCTCCTCCTCCTCCTCCTCCTCCTCCTCCTCCTCCTCCTCCTCCTCCTCCTCTTCCTCCCATCATGCCATTCCGGACTCGAAGCAGGCCGACTATAGGGGACGAGATGGAGGCGTACGCTTCACTTGGAAGAAGACGTCGGCTACCCCTGGTCGCACACACATCAAGCATGAGCCTGCTGAGTGGTGGGTAATCACGTGGACGCTCGTCAAGAAGATCTCGGCACCGTGCAAGCATCAGAAGCATGAAGACTTGGTGAAGCTCAACTTGACAATTATGCAGCGACGGGTCGCAGACATGGAGGCTAAGAGAGATAAGCTGTTGGCGAAGGTGGAAGAGGATGATGTCTTCAGGTGGACTGAGCGGGTGCGTACTATCACGGTGCTGGAGGACGACGAGCGGTCGGATCGGTCGTACGGAGGCTTGGGCAGGACGCGCCGCTGCACACGCCTCCTATCAGTCGAACAAAAAGTACGCTGGCTGGCTGGCTGATATGTGGAAGGCGAAACCTGGAGTCTTGCATCGCCAGGTGAAGCCTCAGGAGCAGCAGCGCTTGGAGATTTACGTAAGTGGTAACATCATCGCGAGCCTCACAGTAAGCATGGAGATTCAGAGACAGGAGTGGGAGCGTGTTTGGCAGCCACGTAAGTCTAAGCAACAGATCCTGGACGCTCTGGATAAGGCTCGACTTCGGATTCGAGAGGACCCTCACGAGGCGATCTTTCTGGGCGACCTCCAGCGCACACTACGCGTCATGCCAGGTGCGAAAACCAAAGGAGTCGATATGATCGAACCTCGTGCCATGCTACGATTACCGAGGAAGCGTTGCAGCAGTACACGGACCTACTCAATCTGATAAAGACCGAAGGAGCCTGGCCTCCCCAAGTTATGGCCACTCTGGCCGCGATGGCACCGAAGAAGGCAGGTGGAGATCGAGTGCTGGGGGTCCTTCCGCCGTATCCGAGGTGCCGCCTCGGACTCTTGGAGTGACGGATTGCATGAATTTTGGTGCACAGCGATGAAGGGCTCCTCGGCCTTGTCTGCGGCGCTCCATCGCGCAGTCTTGGACGAGTCTGCGGTGGCCATGGGCTTGACCGTGGGCGCGCTTCTGATGGACTCGGCCAAGTTCTACGACCACGTGAAGTTGGCTCGCCTGATAGAGGTGGGGTTGGACGAGTACTTCCCTGCCATTTGCTTACTCTTAGAGGTCCAGCTCTTCCTCGGCCCGAGGATCTTGCGAGCACGTGGATGGATTGCGGAGCCTATATATGCACTTCAAGGGATTGTGGCAGGGCCCCCGAGAGGAATCATCCTAGCTCGCCTATTCTTGCTCCCGATATTGACGCGTGCTCAACAGCGTGCTGAGGGGGCGACAATGTGGACCTTCGTGGATGATACCGTGGCGAGGTCAGAAGGCACAACACGAGCGGTCTTGCAGCAGCTGACCAAGGCCGGTGGCGAGTTGAAGTTGGCACTTGATCAGGCTGAGCTTCCCGTCTCCGACAAGACTGTGGTGCTTTCGAACAACAGGCAAGTACGAGAGCGATTAGAGCGCAACCTACGTCGTCGAGGAGCCCCTGTCTCTGCGACGACTACGGCCACGGACCTTGGCGTCGACGTGGCGGCGGGCACGCGCAGGGCCCAGAAGAAGGCGGGGGAGCGTGCACGAGCGGCCTCCACCAGGACCAAGAAGATCGTGCACATGCGGAGCACGGCACAGCAGGCTCGCATCGCCACGGGTCTGTGGGCCACTGGCTCGCTCCCTCAGGGAGCGTATGGCCATCAAGTTCTAGGGCTCGCTCGACATGCTCTACTTCGATGGCGTCGACAGGCGGCAGCTGCGGCCGCTGGTCAGGCAGCGGGGCGCTGCCTCACGACTCTCTCGGGGGTCACTTTTGACGGAGTCGATCCGGGAGTCCAGCTTCGTGTTCAATTGCTTCGACAGTGGACTCGGTTCTGGCAGGATCGGCCGCACCTTCACCAGCGTATTCGACGGACTTGGTCGTTGCTCAAGACCAAGCTCACCATCGCTGGCCCGAAGATCTGGTCATCTGTTACAGGACCTACGGGTGCAGCGGTTGCGACACTCTTGGAAGCTGGCTGGGATCCCAAAGCGGCTGACTGCTGGCAAAATGTGCATGATGAATATTCTCGGCAGCGGCCAAGAGGGGGGTGTCCAAGAGGGGGGGGTGCAAATCATGACCGGCGGCATGTGCGCGGCCCAGCGGGGGGGCCAGGGACGTAATGAAATAAGAAGAGGTGCCATGAAATCTGGGGAAATATCATGGCCCCCGCCATGATATCCACCCCCCCCTAGTCATCACCCCCCTCTTTTCCACCCCCGATATTTGGAGGCTCCCAGATGATGGAGTTGAACTAGTCGACCTCGACTACGAGTCTGTCCTCGAAGATTTCAGCGACGACCTCCGGGGCAGGCTCTGGGCGACGGCGGCGGCGCGTGAGCGCGGTGCCTCCCTCGCCTCGGGAGCTGGCCTGGTCACGATCAGGATCGAGCAGCGGAGGTTCCTGTCGAGTGGAAAAATATCGCCCTGGGGGTCAGTGGACTCGAAAGGGCCTTCATCAGGCGGGGTATCAGGTCAATCGTCTGTGTGATCGTTATAACTCTGGGGCCATCGAGGACCTCCCCCACAGACTTTGGAAGTGCTCGGCTAATGAGGGCCCTGAGGCTTCTGCCAGTGATCACCTTGTGCCCCAAGCGCTCGCGGGTCTGGATCAGGACCCAGCTCTTTGGCTTAGAGGTGTGCCTAGCCTTGCCTCCACTACTCCCTCCTTTGCCTCGTGGGACGGGGGTGGGGTGGAGGTGGTGGGTCCTGACAAAGAGGGTCGGCCTCAGTGGGAAGCCTGCAGAGACCCCCATGGGCGCTTAACTCTGTTCGGGGACGGCTCTGGAGGGGCCTTTTCTGATGATCCTCTGAGGCGCCGATGTGTTCGGTCGGTCGCGGCGCTCACCCCAGACGAGGCCGGCTTGTGGCGAGGCCACTCTGGCCTCTTCGGCCCGCTCGAAGGTAGACGGCAGACGGTTCCACCTGCTGAATTGCTCGCGTTTTGTATTGCGGTTGAGGAAAGCTCGGGGCCTCTGACGTTTGTGACCGACCATAAGCCTCTCCTCAATGGATGGGGTCAAGGTTTGGCTCGGAGGCCTCCTGGAGCTTGGTCTCGGCGCCTCAAGAACTAGGACCTCTGGGTCAGGCTGCGCAGGGCCTTGGGAGCAAAAACGTTGGCGCGATGTGGCCTGGGTGTGGACCCCGTCCCATCAGGATGAGACGCCTCAGGCCATAACCAACCAATTATATGCATGCGGTAATATTGTGGCAAATGCATGGGCTGGCAGAGGTGCTGCCAAGAATTGGGCCGCTGGGTGTGATCCCATGCCGTGCACAGATCAGTGGGATGTGACAGCGGCCCTTGTCCGTGCTAGAGCGAGGGCCATTATCAAGAGCATTGGCTCCGACAAGGTTTTGCGGGGAGAGAGAGTGGGAGTCGCTCGGCAGGCTCCCTTATCCGCACGTGCTTTGTGTCTCAAGGCCTCGACCCACCAGTTCGAGCGTTGCGGTGAGAAGTGGCGGTGTGACATATGTGCGCAGCTGGTGGATGATTGTAGATTGGACAAGACGGCTCTCACCCAATGCCCTGGCACGCCTCCTGTACTTAGCCCTGCCGCTCGGCAACTGTCGCGTCTGGGGGAGGCCGTGGTCGAGGCTGGGGGGGGGGAGAGCTCAACGGTCAGCCTGCCCACCCTTCACACCGCTTGGTTGAGATACCTAAGTGGAGGGTGATCGTGTGCACTGCGTGTGGTTCACACGCCACCTTCAGATATGTGAATACCTTGGAGTCCTGCCCGCCTAAGCCATCGCCGAAGGGTCAGGTGGTGTTGAGCCGTGTGCTGAGAAGCTTGCATCCTTCCCACAAGGGCCCGTCTCGGGCCGTCCGCGAGGCACTGCACCGTGATGCGGCCGAGACGGCCCGAGCCCGTGCGATGCGCCACATTTCGGCGGTGCAGGACCCAGGCAGTGTGAGCCCCTCGCAGCCCCTTGGACCCCCACCCGAGGGAGAAGAAGCTGAGGCTACGGAGGCAACTAATCGGTTTGCTGCTTTGGATGAACTTTTTGAGGAGGAGGCCGTGCAGGCTGGAGAGCGGGAGGAGGATGATGGTGTCGAGGCGAGGGGCCCGTCGTCGTCGTCCGCGTCGGCTGAGGGTGCGCGCGTGTTGCGCGCGGTGCGTGTGCGCCTGCGCACGCCGCGCCCGACCTCGGCCACGACGGCAACGGCTACAATACCCAGGACTGCCCTGGGTCGGGACCCGCCCGCGCCGCCCTCCCCCTCGAGCTCCTCCGATTAGGCCTGTGGCCTCCATTCTTCCGCGCGACTCCTCGGTCGCTTTGCACTTAGCCCACTTAGTCCTCCCCTCCTCCGCCTCGTCCTCCTCCTCCTCCTCCTCCTCCTCCTCCGTCTCCTCCTCCTCCTCCTCCTCCTCCTCCTTCTCCTCCTCCTCCTCCGTCTCCTCCTCCTCCGTCTCTCCTCCTCCGTCTCCTCCTCCTCCGTCTCCTCCTCCTCCTCCTCCTCCTCCTCCTCCTCCTCCTCCCCCTCCTACTTCCACTCCCCCTCCTCACTCCTCTCCCGCCGTCGTCGTCGTCGTCGTCGTCGTCGTCGTCGTCGTCGTCGTCGTCGTCGTCGTATTGCTTTGGATTATGGGTTGCTGGAACGAGCCATGTGGTCTGCTCCAGAAATGGGGTCCTGCAAGTGAGCGACGAAAAGAAGCGGGTCTTACGCGAGGTGGCATAGCGACTTTACGAAGCGGTTCACGCGGGCCGCCAGCGCGGCACGCTACGCTGGAGACGAGGGCGCTTACGCGCGACCTTACGCGGGCAGCTTCCGCGCGAGTGTCGGCGCAAACGAGCCCATTTTTCTGCGTCGCTCAGGCGGAGAAGGGATCTGAACTCAGGGAGCTCTCTCCCAGGAGCCATTTTTTTCATCACGAGTCTGGGGGCCCCCTTGGCCGCCTCTTGGGCCGTCTTGGGGAGTTCTTGGGAGCCTCTCGGGCCGTCTTGGAGCATCGGGAGCCCAAAACGGTGAGCAAGCTAAAATCCTTTTCAAACCACCAGGACTGGGCGTCTTGGAAGCATCTTAAGGGGGTCTGGGAGCGATCTTGGGACGACTAGCGGCCTTCTTGGACTGGAAGGGTCAAAGACGCACTACCCTGGGTCACCGCAAACCTGGGTCAGCCAGGGTCCTGTCGCGAAGCCAGGCCAGCAGCTTGGTAGCTCGTAAGCCCAGGTCAAGGCGGGGCAAACAAGGGCGAATCGGCACTATGTGGCTCCCAAACCCGGGTCAGCTAAAAGGGATTGGCTGACCCACGTTCCAAGACCCCCGACGACATGATTTTTCCACAACTTCGACCCCCAAAAGTCTCGACCCCTTCCCGGGGTCTAGTTTCTCATCCTCAGTCGTTTGTTGACGGTCCCGAAGCCTCGTAAAGGCTCCCAGAGAGAGGCCGAACATCGCGACAAACTTGCCATCATGATTTTGTCATGGCTCGAGGGGTCTGGGTTCCCCGGGAGCCCGAAGCCGGTACCACAGAGCTCCAGGATCGCTCTCCCCTTCGCGGCACCCCCGGCCCCCGCCCGCCTTCGGGGATCTTCTGACCCGGGTCAATCCAGACCCGGGTCAACCAAGCCTTGCAAAACCCTGGAACATCCTGCGAGATCCTGCGCCCAAACCCGGGTCAGTGCGACCCTGGCCCTGCAGGATCCTGCAAGTCGGGCGCTCTGGCTGACCCCTTTGCATTGACCCCCGTCTCGAGGCCCCCGCCCGCCTCGGAGGCGTGGAAGATCCGGCCTGGGTAGAAGCAGAGCAGCTCGCCCCGCCGCAGCGGGCCCGCCGCGCGCAGCCCTCAGAGGGGGCACAGGTGGGCGCCGGGCGGCGGCGACGGAGCTGGGCGACGATGACGACGACCGCGACGAGGCAGAGCCCACGGGGGCGCCGGGCGGCGGGCGGCCGCGGCGGCACACCGCGCAGTGGGAGACGACTGCTGGGAGGCCCTCGCGGGCACGACCGAGGCATGTCAAGCCAGGGGGCCATGTGAGAGCCGCCCGCGTGCTGAGCACCCCGGACGACCGCGCCCGAAGAAAGACTCGAACGGGGAGGGACCGGCTGTCTCAGGAAGGCGCGCGGCAGCTCAGGAAGCGCCAGGTGTGGGATCGGGGTGATCATTCCTGCCTTGATATGAGACGAATCCAAGACCAGGACAACCTCGGAACGCATATCGGGGATCTCCGGTTCTGAACATGTAATGAGCGGGCGACGCGGCCGTTCCAGAGCGCTCCGGAGCACTCCGGAACGTTCTGGGACGGTTTGTCCCTGTCTTGGCGCCGCCTGGTGATGTTACGCAAGCAGTTTGAAGCTTCAGCATAAGCGGTATCAGGCCAGATCAGGGAGGATTGGAACCAAGCAATGTCCAGGGCTGATGCTCGATCCAATGACCAACACCCTCGGGTTAAACCGAGCATGCTCTCATTGGGTGCCCAAGGCTGAGAACCCAGCCTTGTCACGATTCGAAGAAAACGAGCTAGCCGTTTTTCTGCAAGTCACGGCGCCCAGGTGCCTTTTCTGGTCCTGCGGCCATCAACAAAATGACCTGGGATGAAGAACTGGCCCGAAGGAAGAGTTCGAGAGCCCAACAAAGGCCAGCGACTTCAAGAAAACGACTCGTCGGAAACTAGGCCTGAATGACCGCCGTAGAAAAGCGAGAGTGATACGATAGATGTTCCACGTGGCCAGGGGGCTCCAGAGAAATCGTATTTTCGAGATTGGATACCTATGTTGGTGATGCTCCTCTCTTCCTCCCCTACTCCTCCTCATGGATGTTCCTGCTCCCGCTCCTGCTCGTGCACTGCCTCTTCCTGATCCCGCTCCTTTTCCTGCTTTTCCCCTGGTACTGCTCCTCCTCCTCCTCCTCCACCACCTCCTCCCCCTCCTGATCCTCCTCCTCCTCGTCCCCCTTCCCCCACCCTAAATCATCCCCCATCAGTCCCCCACCCTTCGTTATCTGCTCTCATGTCCCACGTCCCCCTCGACCCCTCTCCGTCTGTCCTTCCTCACCCCATTTGCGCCTAATAGACGCGAGGCGCCTCAGCTTAACTTCGCTCCTCCTCCCTCTCCGCGTTCGCCCTCCTCCTCCTCCTCCTCCTCCTCCTCCTCCTCCTCCTCCTCCTCCTCCTCCTCTCCTCATCACTCATCACTCCTCCTCGTAAACTTCCTCGCCATCCATCTCGAGAGGCCCACGTTCCTCGCGACCATCCCCCCTTCACGGGGAAACGGCTCGGGGGGAGAAACCTCGAGTTTGAATCGGCGATGCAGCGCCTGGATCGGCGACAGGCCCCCGACAGCGAATCCGCGGGGTCCTGGGCGGGGCGGGCTATCGGGCCCCATCGACGATCAATTGGCATTTGGGGGTCAACGCGTCCCGCCTGAGCTTGTCCCCCCCCCCCACATTGCCCCCCTGCTTTTCGGGTCGATACTCGGCTCTCCAGCGGCCGCTCGGGACGATCTTGACTCTCCTACGCAAACACCCTTGCTTGTCGATGTCGCAGGCATGATCGTGGCACGGCGGGTTCATCTCATCTTGGCAAATCGTTGCCTGGAGACTTAACCGTAGCGGGCAGAGGAATCGTGTTCATCGTCGGTCTTGTGCTTGGATGCGATTCCACGAGCTGCGCCACACTCTGTTCAATCACAAAATTTCAGTCCGTTTACGTCTCATATTGTTTGACTCAGTCGTTGCACCAACAGACCTGTGCAACTTGTCAACAACGCCGCTCACTGTATCATAGTTGGAATCGATGGATGGCGTGCACGTCAAGATGATGGGACTAATTGTGAGTTGGACACGACTCGACGATGAGGACTGGCACGCCGCGGGGCACCGGATGAAAAAACGCTTGAACAACGCTCGGCGGCGAGCGAGGGGGGACAATGAGAAGGAGATGGCCTTCTCAGAAGGCGGCGGGACTTCTCTCAAAGTCCTCGCGCCTTCTCAGAAGTTTTTGGGGTCTTCGGGGAAGGCGAAGAAAAATTCTCAGAAGGCCGCGGGACTTCCGAGCCTTCTGAGAAGGCCTTCTCCTTCTCGTTGTCCCCTCCTCGCTCGCCGCCGAAACGCACTGGCAGATACTCGCGTGGACGTCTGGAGCGAAGCGCGCGACAGGCAGAGACGCCGGCTGCTGGACAAGATCACAGGCGGAGCAGAAGAACTCCTTCGCAGAGCGCACCCGGCGGTAAGAGTGGGTAGAAGCATACAGTAGGAAGGCGCTGAGAGTGGATTGGGATCCCGCCCGCCCCCTGAAGAGGAAGGAAGGGGGAGCACCACTCGATCATTGAAGTAGGAAGGCGGCTACTAACGTGGATTGGGATCTGAGAGCCCAAGAATGCCCACTTCCAACTACCGACGTGCAACGATGGTCGCGGGTGCCTACGGTGCCCGTGTGGATACCTTACAGGAGGCGTGGCCGGCCAGCACGCAGGTGCACGGACGGCCTAAGCGCCGGCGGCCGCTGCTCGACCCTTTCGCGCTCCTCATGCCCGGAGACCAGGCCGGCGTCGGGCAGCACACCTTCGGAGGCCCACTGATGTGCTTGTCCTCTCCCCGAGGGTACTCCGAGTTTCTTCGTAAGTGTCGGGGGGGGCGTCACCCTCGCCGACAGCCCCACATCGACCCCCGTCGCGAACAGCCACCGCGCGCCGAAGGCGCTCCGACCCCCGTCGCGGCGCGACGACGAAACGAGATTGACCCCCGTCGGGGAGGTACCCCCCCACGCTGATTAAGAAACCCGAGGTAAGCTCTGCACGCACTTTTTCACCTGTGTCCCGTGCAGGACTGGCTCCCGCGGCTGCTTGGCTCTCCCACGGAATCCCCCTTTTGCCCACTTCTGCTGCCGGACAGTTGGCGATGCCGTTTCATGGCTTGCCCGAGCGCGCGTGCGGACTGCCTCTGCCGCGCTGTGACGGAAGAAGTCCAGGACCAGCTCTCTAGCCATACGGGATCTGTCTGTCTGCTGGGCACCCCTGGGACGCTCACGGCGAGGCGCAGCCGCTGCAAAGCCGTGCGAGGATTGAAAGCCGCCGAGAACTGACGAAAACGGCCAGAAACCTCGAACCTCAGAATTTTGTCCACCCCCTTTCGACAAGCGACTACTATGACTCGCGAAGTAACTACTCGCCAATGGTCTGGATCCCCCGCCGGGGGTTCACGATACGTTCCATCGCAGCAAGCATGTGAGCAGTAGAACGCGAGGAGGAAACTTACGCGAGTAGGCACTTTGCGAGTGGTGGAACTGCGGGACGGGAAAACGACCACAGCCACTGCTTCTTGTTTGCGCCCCCTTCCAGCTGGCCGAAAAAGAAGCAGTGGTTGTGGTCATTTCCCTGGTGCCAAGTTTAACGAAAATGACCACAACCACTGCTTTGTTTCTGCTGGGTGGAAGGCGGCAACAAAAGAAAAACAGTGGCTGTGGTCGTTTTCGCGTCCCGTAGGAACGCGCTCGGTGACCCAGCGGCCCGGCGGCCCAAACCGCCATCATCCGCCCGCCCGCCGAAGGCGGTGGCGGACGGGCCTAGCGGCGCCTCGCCAGCGGCCGCCAACTGCGGCAGAGAGAACAGCTCCAGCCTCGGCAGCGCCGGCGGCGGTGGGCTGCCGGGTGCGCCGCCTGGTCTCGCGGGCGCCGAGATCTGTATTCGGAGGAGGGCCGGGTGAGGCGATGGCGGCTCTCCTCGGCGTTTCTCGTTGTTGTTGAACTCTCACTCTTAAAGAATAATTATTGTTGATCCCCCCCACTGGTGCACATTTTTTTTCCATTGAAGTGCCCCCCCGGGGCTCGCACCTTGTTTTTTGTCAAGGAAAATCTTCCTGCTCAAATTGGCCCCCTGGCCCTCGGGTTGCAACAACAACAGCTCCCGCCGGAGATTTCCTCACAATTTAGCCAGGACCCCCGCTCCCGCCCGAGACTTCCTCACATTTGATTCAAGAACCGCGCTCTCGCTTGGGACTTCCTTACGATTTCTTCAGGAATCGATCCTCCTGCGCTCTGGAGTCGCGCTCTCGCTGGAGACTTGCTTGCAATCTACTGAAGAATAGCGCCCTTGCGTTGGAATTTCTTGCGATGTACTCCAGCGCCGCGCTCCCGACACCCAGGCACCCAGGAGTCGCGCTCACGCTTAAGACTCCTTCACAGATTACCTAGGAATCGGGATTTCGCTGCCCTTCGTGGCCCCGTTGCAGCCCTTCGTGGCCTCCTCGCTTTGCTTCGTGGCCCCGTTGCAGCCCTTCGTGGCCCCGTTGCAGCCCTTCGTGGCCCCCTCGTTTTGTTTCGTGGCCCCGTTGCAGCCCCTCGTGGCCTCCTCGTTGCCCTTCGTGGCCCCCTCTCTGCCCTTCGTGGCCTCCTCGCTTTGCTTCGTGGCCCCGTTGCAGCCCTTCGTGGCTCCGTTGCAGCCCTTCGTGGCCCCCTCTCTGCCCTTCGTGGCCCCGTTGCAGCCCTTCGTGGCCCCCTCTCCGCCCTTCGTGGCTCCGTTGCAGCCCTTCGTGGCCCCCTCTCTGCCCTTCGTGGCCCCGTCGCAGCCCTTCGTGGCCCCCTCGCTTTGTTTCGTGGCCCCATATATGTATGCCCTTCGTGGCCCCCGCTCGTTCGCGCCCGTGGTGGCCCCATATGCATGCCCTTCGTGGCCCCGCTGTCGCCCTTCGTGGCCCCCTCGCTGCCCTTCGTGTCCCCGTTGCTGCCCTCAGTGGCCCCGTCCGTACCCTCCGCGGCCCAACATACGTATGCCCTTCGTGGCCCCCGCTCGTTCGCGCCCGTTGTGGCCCCATGTGCATGCCCTTCGTGGCCCCGCTGTCGCCGTTTGTGGCCCCCTCATTGTCCTACGTGGCCCAGGTGCTACCCTCAGTGGCCCCATCGTTGCCTTCTGTGGCCCCGCATTATCTGCCCTTCGTGGCCCCGCTCGTTCGCGCTCTTCGTGGCCCCATACGCATTCCCTTCGTGTCCCCGCTGTCGCCCTTCGTGGCCTACTTCGTGTCCTTCGTGGCTCTGCTGTCGTTCTCTCTCGCTCTCGCTTTCGCTCGTCGTCGTCGTCGCCGTCGCCGTCGTTGCCGTCGTCGTCGACGTCGTCGTCGTCGTCGTCGTCGTCGTGGTCGGTCTCCTGTCCGTCCCTCTTGGGGTCGGGTCGACGGTCCGCGGCCGCCCCGCCGATCAGCGCTGCCGCTGGCCAGGCCGACGGTCCGCGGCCGCCCCGCCGCTTGCCGGGGCCCTGCCTGCAGGGAAGAAAGGTATACCCCCCAAAAGGGGTTCGATCGAAGACGGAGAGGGCGGGTATCGAAGGTTTGGGAAATTCGCGTTATTCGACACTCGAGCAGATAAGGGCGAACAGTCTTAAAATGATTAAATGATTATTGTTGTTGTTGGTGTTGTTGGTGTTGTCGGTGTTGTTGTTGGGCCTCCTCGAGATTTCGTCGACACGGCCGGAGCCGCCTCGCAACAAGCGGGTCATGAGGGACCCCAGAGAGGTATTAGACGCCTCCTAGATGGGGTCAGAGTAGCTGGGGTCGAAGGATCGCGCCGCATCGCCGATGCGTCGCCGATGTATCGGCGATGCATCGGCGACGTCGGCGACGCATCCGCGACGTCGGCGTGGAGAAAATCGGTCTCCACATCGAGCCGCATCGTCGATGCATCGGCGATGCGGCGCGACCCTCCGACCCCGTCTACTCCGACCCCACCTCGGAGGCCTAGAAGTGTGGGACCGACTCTGAGCGGACCTTGGCCGGGCGGGAGAGCCGCCGTTGCCTCGATTGGCCCTCCTGCCAGAGGCACAACCCACCGCTCTTCGCCAGGCCTGCCCTGGGCCCACGAAGAGGACGAGGAGGCGGAGGGGTATGAGGAGGAGGAGGAGGAGGAGGAGGAGGAGGAGGAGGAGAAGGAGGAGGAAGAGGAGGAGGAGGGGGTAGGAGGCAGGTCGCAGGAGGCAGGGGGCAGGAGGCAAGAGGCAGCAGGATCGCAGGAGGCAGCGGCGCAGTAGGCAGGAGCAGAGCTGCAACGCAGCATCAAAGATCACCCCCCTATGGCTTGGCCAGGGAGGCTTGGCCACGGAGGCGTGCACACCGCTCCGGGGCCACCGGGTGGGTCTGGCCAGGGGGCCGTGGGGCAGTGTGCAGACTCTAGGCCTCGCCGCCCGAGGCCCCGCAGGCAACCGCGCGCGAGCCCTGCCCCAAACAGCTCGTGGACTCTGACAAGCGGGGGTCCGCAAATCGCTCGCGCCTGCTGGCAGGTATCGAGCCCCAGCCGGTGGACGTTGTCGTCCTCATCGTCATCGTCCTCATCCTCAGTGTTCTCATCATCACCATCATGATCAACATCATCATCACCATCACCATCACCATCACCATCACCATCACCATCACCATCACCATCATCATCATCATCATCATCATCATCATCATCATCATCAGCAGCATCGTCCTTATCATAATCATCTTGCTCCTCCTCCTCTTCACCACCACCACCATCATCGTCATCATCGTCATCATCGTCATCATTGTCATCATCATCATCATCATCATCATCATCATCACCACCAGCATCAGCATCAGCATCATCAACGTAATACTAATAATCATCATCATCATCATCATCATCATCATCATCATCATGCCATCATCATCAGCAGCATCCTCATTATCATCATCAGCATCATCAGTATCAGTATCATCATCATCATCATCATCATCATCAGCATCAACATCACCATCATCATTACCATCATGATCATGATCATGATCATGATCATCATCCTCATGATCACCATCATCATCATCATCATCATTATCATCATCACCAGAAACATCATCAGCGGCATCATCATCAGCATCATCAGCATCATCACCATCACCATGATGAGCATCATCAGTAGCATCAGCATCGTCATCATCAGCATCATCATCGTCGTCATCATAATCACCATCAGCATCAGCAGCATCATCGTCATCATCAACATTATCATCATCACTATTCTCATCATCATCATCTTCGTCATCGCCATCGTCATCGTCATCATCATCGTCAGCAGCAGCACCACCACCATCATGCACATCCTCATCCACATTCTCATCCTCCTCCTCTTCCTCCTCCTCCTCCTCCTCATCATCATCCACACCACACTCATCGTCGTCATCGTCATCGTTCATCGTCGTCGTCTTTGCCCCGACCCACTGGTCCAATTCGACAAGCAAACGGGCACCATTCCTGTGAAAGCTTCACGCGTAGCTGCCAAACTCGGGCGAGCGCGCAAGATTGCCAGTCGGCGACTCGAAGCACGATCGCGCCAGGCCTGTGGGTTTCAACCTGTTTTGGCGCCGGGGGGCAGCTGCCTGGCCCTGGGACCGTCATACAGACAAGTGTTCTTCTTTAGACTTTGGCAAGCTCGCCTGCACGGAGAGGGGGGGCTCTCCAGCGAGCCCCATAGGGTGTCACGACTTCGCGCACGTCTGGCACGCTGATCCTGCTCAGCATGAGAAGGCGACGCCACAGGGAAGGGGGTGGGATCATACCATGCAAGTGAACATGGCCGCATCGGACATATCACGAGCTAGTGGCAACGACTCGGGATAAATGGGGGGTCCCATGGGAGGGTCGAGAGTTCGGGGAGCAAGCGACTCGAACAAATCGAGTCGTTGGGGGTCTGGAGAGGGGGGGAACTGATTTGCCTGGCGTCCCACAGGAGGACAAGGAGGCGGAGGCGGGGGGCGGAGCCGCCCAAGTCAGGGCTCACCTTGGCCAACTTCTCGAACTGCGCTCAGAGGTAGCGACGAGAGCCCCCGCAAACGCGGCAATGATAACAATGACGAATCGCACACGTCGACGGCGAGGAGGATAAGAAGGAGGAGACGGAGGAGGAACAGGGGGAGGAGGATGAGGATGAGGATGAGCAGGGGGCGGAGGAAGAGGAGGCGGAGGAGGAGGGGACAGGAGGAACAGGAGAGGGAGAAGACGAGGATTAGACGCCCATGGAGGGGGAAGGGGAGAGAGAGAGAGAGAGAAAGAGAGAGAGAGTGAGAGAGAGAGACACAAAAAAAAACAAAAAAGTGGAGAGAGAGAGAGAGAGAAACAACACAAACATATATATATATAGAGAGAGGGAGAGAGAGAGATAGAGCGAGAGAGAGAGAGAGACAAAAAAAACAGAGAGAGAAGAGAAAGAGAGAGAGAGAGAGAGGGAGAGAGAGAGAGATAGAGAGAGAGAGAGAGAGGGAGGGAGGGAGGGAGGGAGAGAGAGAGAGAGAGAGAGAGAGACCAAAAAAAAAGAAAGAGAGAGAGAGAGAGAGAGAGAGAGAGAGAGAGAGAGAGAGAGGGAAAGAGAGAGGTCAGAGGCCCAGGCCTCGACAAAAGCCGAGGGCGCGCCCAAGTCGGATCAGATGTTCTCTTCGTTTGCCACCCTGGCTGGGGGCGCCATCCAGCCAGGGGCCGACGACAGGGCCTTTCTCTTCGGGCTCGAGCTGCTCAGCGACCGCCGAGCCGCAGGCCTCGGGGCCCTTCGCTCGGCCTTCGCTGCGGCCGAGGCGCTGTCGCGCTGGGGCCCGCTGACGGCCCCGCGTCCAAGCCACCGCCTCCTCCTCCTCCTCCTCCTCCTCCTCCTCCTCCTCCTCCTCCTCCTCCCCCATTCCTCCTACTTTTCGTCCTCCCCTCCTCCTCCTCCTCCTCCTCCTCCTCCTCCTCCACCTCCTCTTTGTGAGCTCCACGCGCCCCAGAGACCTCGCAGAGAGGAACACACGCCCACCTGCTAAGGGGACGAGCAGGGGGCCGAAGAAGAGCAACGCCAACGGTCCAGGGCCATGCCCCCGTGGCGTGCTCATAGCGCGAACAGGGAATGCAAGGAGACCGTGTTCCGCGCTCCCTGTTCGGGGTTGGGGGCGCCGGAGCCGTGCTCCGACGCCCAACCTAGCCACCACCTACTCCATAGGTGGCCGCGGCGACGAGAGCAATTTTCTTTCCCCTTGGCCCCTACGGGCAAACAGGGGTGACGATCGGGCTGCTACCCGCCTGTTTTCCTCCTGACCCTTACGGGCAAACAGGAGTGGTATAGGTGCCCTCCTCCTCCTCCTCCTCCTCCTCCTCCTCCTCCTCCTCCATTTCCTCCCCCATTTCTCCTCCTCCTCCTCCATTCCTCCTCCATTCCTCCTCCATTCCTCCTCCTCCTCCTCCTCCTCCTGCTCCTCCTCCCTCCTCCTCCTCCTCCTCCTCCTCCTCCTCCTCCTCTCCTCTTCCTCCTCCTCCATTCCTCCTCCTCCTCCATTCCTCCTCCTCCGCCTCCTCCTCCTCCCCTCCTCCTCCTCTCCTCCTCCTCCTCCTCCTCCTCCTCCTCTTCCTCCTCCTCCTCCGTCCCTCCGTCCCCTCGTCCCCTCTCCTCCTCCTCCTCCTCCTCCTCCTCCTCCTCCTCCTCCTCCACCTCCTCCTCTCCCGTCGTCGTCATCGTCGTCGTCTTGCTTTGGATTACGGGTTGCTGGAATGAGCGGCCCGCTCCGGAAATGAGATTCTGCAAGTGACGAAAAGAACCGGGTCTTACGCGAGGTGGCATAGCGACTTTACGAGGCGGCGCGCGCGGCCCGCCAGCGCGGCACGCTACGCTGGAGACGAGGGCGCTTACGCGCGACCGTACGCGGGCAGCTTACACGCGAGTGTCGGCGCAACGGACCCCCTCTTTTGGCGTCGCTCAGTTGGGGTGGGCCGGCCAACCTAACAAACGCGTTCGATTTGTTTTTCCCCGCACCCGGCACAGAAGCCTCGGGACCTCTGCAGACCGACTTCGGGCACCGAGCTCCATTGGAGATTGTGGCGAGCTGGCCGCAGGAAGTTCAACAAAAGGAGGTTGGACAACGAATCGACGACAACTGGGAACTCCCACAGCACGTGCCCACCAACTCTCCACGGAGCCGCGTCCACAGGCGGCTCGGGCTGTGACGGACTCGGTGGCCCTCGACCTCTGGGGTCTCCTCGGGCAGGGCCCTCTCGGGAGGGGCCTGGAGACCATACAACAACTCGCCCGCCATCAGGACTCCTGGGTCTGACGGGGCCTCCAAGGAAACTTTGCTGACGGCCTGGGGGGGTCAAAATTCTCCAGTTCCCGTGGTAAGCCTCCACTCGCCCCAGAATCTTGAGCGCAGATCTGGCTAACGCGAGGAGCCCACGGATAATGAGGTCATCGGGCGAGTGTCTGACCAAAGCTGCACCCTGCTTAGCAAGCACTTCGGCACGGTGATTGCCTTCCCTCTCGAAGGCCGTGAACGTGTCTTCTCTAACGTCGTGCATCGGGGCATGTGCTGGAGCTCTCTGTGGCGTCATTCCGTCTAGGCCTTCGTCCTCAAACGCCCAAGCCCACAAGTGAGCCTTAGTGTTGGACGGCGCCTGTGCCGTCGCGGCCATAACGGCAGCAAGCAAAGATGCCTGCACAATCTTTGTGCAACGTGTACGTTCCTATTCTGTGATTACTGGACACATACACTGTAAAGTGTTCCCCGTCACGAGCAACTTGGGCGGGGAGACGATCATGAGGCACCGAGCCGTAGCATTCAACTGGGAAACACATTCCATAATCATAGCCGGGGAACAACTAATGACATAAGTACAAACTTTCGGATATCCACGCTGACTTCTTGGATCCGCGCTGGGCTCCCATCCCTGGAGGCCCTAGCGCGCGGAGCGCGCCAGGGGCGGCGCCGGGAGCGCCGCTGGGGGGTCCCAGGCGCCGATCCCAGAAATCCGCGCGGAACGGCGAGTATGAATGTTTATGCCGCGTTCCCTTCTTCGAATACTCATAGAGTGCCACGCCCCAGCCCGCGAGCCTTTCCCACCGAGACGGCCCCTCGCCTCGAGCCCCCCAGAGGCCCCGAGGGCCCTCCAAAAAGCTCCAATAGACCTCCAGGACGCTCCCAAGAAGCCCCCTCGAGGCCACAAAACGCCTCCCATGTGCCCCCAAGGGTTCTCCAAGAGGCCCCAGAGAGGCAGCCCAAGAGACCCTGAAATATTCACCCAAGAAGCTCCTGACCCAACATATAACTTCCGAGATCGTCTCAAACACTCACTCCTTGTGGTGGTCAGCGGAGTTGGGGAAACCAACGAATACCGATACCGCTACTCCCCGTGCCTCTCCCGGGGTACGTTCTGACCATGATTTTGATGCGAATACACCGGTGGCGACGAGGGCCCCCCAGGAGGCCCCAAGAAGAGGAATAACAAGAGCAAGGTAGCGGTACTGGTGCCCGTTCCTCCTCTGAGGAATGGCGTGCGCCACCAGAGTAATCATAGGCTGACACGCCCCAGCCCGCGACTCGAAGGAAGCTCGAAGTCGAGCCGCGGTCCGCCGCAGAAGACGCGCGGCCAACCTCGGGGGCCTACGGGCGGCAGGGCGCCCTCCCCACGCGGCCAACTCCGTGGACGGGCGGCGGGGACGAGGAGGATGAGGACGAGGGAAGGAGGGAAGACGCTGTGGCCAACGGGCCAGGAGCACGAGGAGGAGGAGGAGGAGGGACGAGGAGGACAAGGAGGACGAGGAGGAGGAGACGGAGGAGGAGACGGAGGAGGAGGAGACGGAAGAGGAGGAGGAGGAGGAGGAGGAGGAGGAGGAGGAGGAGGAGGAGGAGGAGGGAGATGACGAGGAGGAGGGCAGGAGGAAGGGTAGGGACTATGCCGGTTGAACCACCGCGCAACAACGTATGATGGGTTGCGATCATGGAAGTGGGGGTTTGTCAACGCCAGAGGCGGTGGCCCCGACAACCCTCGGACAACACAAGGCTGCAGGAAGGGCTACCCTCTCTCGGGAATTCGATGCTCAATTCAAGTTGCCGCCTGCGAACTTCGTTCACCTTGGGCGAAGTGCCAGAAACGTCAGGGAGGGAGAAAGAAAAGGACGCGGACGAGGAGGAAGACGCTGTGGCCAGTGGGCCAGAGTCAGAGTAACGCAAAACAGAAAACATACCATGAGAAGGATCCTTGCAAACCCAAGACGCACCAGGGATGGTGCAATACACCCTCTCTCCAAATTTCTCCTTCATGGGTCCCGATCAGGTCGCCCTCAACATGGGGAAGCGGGTCCTGAAGAAAACGGGTCCAAGACCCCATGCCTTCCCCCAAGACCAGATACCAAATCTTCGTCCCGCGTCGCTTCCTTACGGCCCCGGAGACCGTCGAGGGCCCCGAGAGCCTGCAAACGGAGAAAAATCTCGGGGCCCGCTTCCTGGAGGAGGAGGAGGAGGAAGAGGAGGAGGAGGAGGAGGAGGAGGAGGAGGATGATAATGAGGAGGAAGAGAATGGGGAGGAGGAGGAGGAGGAGGAGGAGGAGGAGGAGGAGGAGGAGGAGGAGGGCGTTAGGGCGTTAGGACCTTAGACTGACGTCTCTCGCATCCTGCGACCAAATTACTGAGTAATCATGATCTTCAGGCTCATCACTCCTGTGCGCCAGGAGCCGAGCCTCTTCTTCGAGACGTCTCTCTGCACGGCAAAACATAAACGCCTCACGGGGGTCACTAAATCCATGCAACTGAGCCACTCGATACATAGCAAGAGCCTCGGGGAAAACCAACCCATACTCAGGTGCAGGGTCGCAAATCCGCTCCGAGGCCTCTTGAGTCACTCCCAGTCTCCCTTCCCACAGCGGTCGGACCTCCTCAGACGGCTCAGCACAATCACCGAGCATCGGGGGAGGGCACACCGTCAAATTGGGACGCAGGCCTCTACGACGCCTCGACCTTTGGGTCGCCAGACCTGGGTGCCTGGGGCCGAAACAAGGCCCCGCAAGGCCTTTCCCAGGCATGTGGGAGAACTGCGCACTCGCACCGCACGAGATGCAAAACAAAACTGGGGCCCCCGAGACATCGCCGATAACGGGGGCCTGCACAACATTGTGCCCTGAAAACATCCAAGTCATACACCTCACCCGCTCAAGCCCCGAGATGCGGGGCACAAGGCCGGGGGAAGCAACCGATGAGCCAACGGAGGAACCGAGAGCAGCGGAACCAGAGCTAGCCGAGCCCTGACCCCCCTCAGGATATAGTCGAGCAGGAACGGCCTCAAAGATCCGCTCCCGCTCGCGCAGCCCCAGCCGCACGTTAAGCTCATCGACGAGCTCAGGTGGGACCTGCCCTGGCAGGTCGAGCACCACCTCCGCGGTCCCACCCACCTCCTCCGAGTCCCAAAACCCTCTATCATGCCGCCAGCGGTGCAACCGACCAAACCACTCATCAGCCTATGTCACACGGCGCTCGCAGCCTTCTACAAAAAAAATCCTGCTCCTCTTCTATGCTCCACAACTGGGCTTCAGCACGGGCCCACTTGTCAGCCAGCCTGTTGCCTTGGAGCATCCACAATTCTTCAAGAGACGCGGCCTCCTGCAGAGCTCGGTGGGCCTTGACCTTGACCAATCTCGCTGGGTCTCCAACTTTGGACCACCACAGCTTCCACATGTGGCGGCGACAGTTGTCAGGACTCAGGAAGGTGGTCGAGGATGTGGCACACGCTACAGGCCCAACACAATCACTGAACACGTCGAGCGGCACCCCAGCATCACCGACGCACGGGGGTTCACGAAATCTGGCCAGCATGTGAAACGCGTAGTCTTCCCCGTCCCGCGCCCACTGGTCAGGCCCCCACCCCCGAGGAACCACCCCGTACATGCAGGCAACGAAATTGCCGCCACTGTCCACTTGGACGGCTGACCACCCTGCCCTTCTGCAGGCGCCGAACTTCGCGTGAAACGCTGAACCATCGACAAAAATGCCCCCCCCCCAGCGCCATCCAGGCACAGCCCCGACAAAGCGAACACAATTTTCCTCGGGCGCCTCGGGCGCCCCAAAGCAGCGCTCGGGGGAGGGAAACAAACACCTGGAAAACATGTCGGCCTCATCCTCTCCAAGACGCGCCACGTTCCAGGCAGCCTGCCGAAGGCTTGCGGGCAGATCAGTCCTGCGAAACTCGGCCGGGCAGGGGCAGTCAAACCCGCGGTGGAAAAGGAGCAGGGGGGGGAGGAGGAGGAGGAGGAGGAGGAGGAGGAGGGGAAGGAGGAGGATGAGAAGGAGGAGGAGGAGGGGGGAGGAAGGGAGGAGGACCTGTTGGACCTTTTTGACCAAGCACAAGACGTGGGGCGAAGGCGGGATGAAGGGGGGGAGGGAGGAGGGAGGAGGGGGCAGGAAGACGGAGGAGGGAGGAGGGAGGAAGGAGAAGGGAGGAGGGAGGAGGGAGGAGGAGAAGGAGGAGGAGGAGGAGGAAGAGAGGGAGGAGGAGGAGGAGGAGGATGAGAAGGAGGAGGAGGAGGAGGAGGTGAGATGAGATGAGATGAGCAAGCGGCCTAAAGCCAGTGCGGTTGGGCTATCGCTCGGCGTCGGAGGTCTCCGTATTTTGGGGGACCTCCTCGAGAACCCCGTCCAGGGGCTCTTCGGGCCCCTCCTCGGCCTCCTTGCACAGACGGCGGAGCCCATCAGCGCGGATGGCTGGCAGGTCCCCCTCCAGGAGGCCGAAGGCCCTCAGCACCTCGGCTCGGGACGTCGCCCCCCCCAAGGCACTCGCCCCCCGAAACCCCCCCCCCAAGTCCCCAAGTCCAGAGCCAAGGCGCCAGGGGCAGGATCTACAGGGCCAAAAACCGAGGCCACCCTCACACGGACAGCGAGCGGCACCCCCTCGGGGGGGTTCAAGGACAGGCCCTTCAGCCCTGCCATGCCAGACGGATACTTACTCCCTCTATTCCGCGCAAGCTGCCGCCTCAAACCCTACGCCGCGCTCTCTCGGAGGCACGGCCTGAGGAGAGCTCGAATCGGCCGCTCCACGCTGAAAAAAGGCACCGCAAGCACAGCAACATTTTATGGCCTTGCCATACTCATGGCCCGACCTCGCATTGGCCGTCGCGTGCAGCATCGGGCGACCATTGAAAGAACAACCCATGTCACGATAGGCCTCGAAACCCTCAGCCGGCAACTGCAACACGGGCTCGCACGCTGGAGCGGCAGCGGGGGCGGGAGCAAACACTTCATCGGGCCGCGCCTCTGTCGACGCTTGCGCCCGATCTCTGCCTGCCGCATACAGCCTCATGAGGTCATCATGGTCCTGGCAGGCCTCCCCGTCCCCAACCAGCGCGCGCAAATCCCCACTCCACCGACCCACCTCGCGAGCGGCCTCGACAAGGCCTCGCCAGAGGTGGTACTCGCTCTCCCCCACTCCATGGAGGGCGGCACCACGCTTCGCAAATTCATCGGCGGCATCGTTGCCCCGCTTCTCCCAAAGGGTGGTGCGATCGTTCTGCACATCTACTATGCTGCAATGGGCCTTCGTCTTGTGGGCCGTGAAATCGTTCGGCTCAAACGCCGCCCAGAACGGAGCCCACATATGGGCTCGGGGGTTCTCCGCTCCCGAGCCCGCTCCAGGGCCCGCCAAGAGCGTCGACGCAGTGCCTTTACAATCTATATAGAGGTCTACGGGCGGCAACGCAACAAGGGCCAGCATTCGGACTGCAAAGTCCTCGGCCGCCCTCGAAGACTGGAAGGGGGCCTGGTCCTGCGGGACAGGCCCAAACGCCGCTGACAAAACCTGGCCAAACCTGTCACAGCTGACCACGGACCTACCAGCCCTGGAAAGCGCCCTGGATCTCGGGAACAGCGCGGACCCGTCCAGGCACAGCAGGCCAGACAAATAGCCCGACGCGGGCCGCTGAAACCAATGGATAGTTTGCTGGCCAGGCCTGCTCCCGGGCAGCTCGACCACGGGGCTGGGATCAGGGAAAACTCCCCTGGCAAAAAGTTCACCCGACTCAAAACTCCAAGCTTTCACCCTCTGGGCCCGCCTCAGCAGGTCGGGAGACACGTTGCCCCTCCGCAGCGCTGCGTGGGCATCACACTCAAAACACCTGTGCCACAACGAGCCGTCTGGGTGCCCGCGCACTGCGCACGCCCCCGACGCGGCAAGCCCCCGTTTGTGCAGGCGGGCCTGGGACCAACACGCCCCCGACACCAGGGCCCTCAAGGCCCGCTGCTGGCGAGTGGTCCAGCTCCGCGAAGTCCCGTGGGGCAGAGGTCCTAGGCAACTCCAACAAATCTGAAGCACCCAGGGGCAGGAAAAAGCCTCGAGCGAAAGCCTATCGGACTCGCGCCTCACTCCTTCCTCGACGAGCCTGCGCACCGCAGCAGGGCTCAACCTGACCAGGTTCAACTCGGAGCCCCCGTCAGTCGTCAACGTCGTGGCCGAGGGGATATCCCAGCCAATGCCCCCAACCATCAGAAGGTAGACATCCGCTGGAGACGCAGCTGCAACCCAAGGCCGCCTGGACTCCGAGCACCTGACACGGGCCAACTCCAGAGTCTTGCTTAGGGCCTGGGGCTCGGGGCAACCCTCCCAGCACGCCGTGCCCCATTGGACAACGACCTGGCCCAGAGCAATAACCCAAGGATGCACGCGACGGCCGTCCCGATACGAATACATCCTGAGCCCAATGGAGGCCCCTCGAGAATATCTGCCGAGACTCTTACAACCGGCCACTCGCAGCTGGTGCAACTCCGTGGGCGGTGCACCCACCACGCATACTCCCCACAGAGCGGAGGCTGCAGGGCCCCCTCGCTGGATCCACTTGACATCCGCACCCGCTTGACGCAGGTTGACCAAGCGCCTCGAAGTACGCGTCGCCATCGTCCAACGTCCCCTGGCGATGCCAACTCGACGCAACGTTCCCAGATTCGCATCGGTGCCGAGGTTCCGTGCCGCGTCGACTTTTCCTCAGGCTGGAAGCGACCGCCGGCTCTCAAGGGCACTCGCTAGCCCCCCGCCGCTGGCCAAGTACTTGCACTTTGACATGTGCACAGGGAGCTCGAGCTCGCCAAAAAAAACGAGAATATGCTCCACTGCCGCGGGCAGCTGGTCCGACACCAACTGGCGGGGGCCGCAGCACTTCAACGTAACGTCGTCCACAACGTTACGCACCTGCACCTGGGGCCTGCCGTGGACCACCGAGGGGAGAGGACCAATCAGGAGAAGCTTCGCTAACGTCGTAGCTGCCGAGCACCCCGCTACGATGGCCCCCGTAGCCTGCAGGAAATCCGAGATCGCCCCATCATACACCAACGTCCTGAACCCAGAGCAGACTGTAACCAGACCCCTTAGAAGCTTCAAGTTGAATCCGAATTGCCTGGCCGCCGCAAACAGGTCCGCATGCCGCACATGCTCATAAAACTTCTTAAGGTCGAGCAGAACTGTCGCACTGTCCGTGCCGATGGCCCTGCAGAACGCGCCTAGCAAGTTGTGGGTCCACCCCGCCCTCTCGCACGTCGTCGTGGGCCCGCTACCTCAGAAGAACTCCACGTTGTGGGTCCTCTCCCATTCCCTGCACAGGGGTTGCCTGAGCTTACTCCAGAGTTTAGTAAACAGACACAGCAGCCCAATGGGCCGAGAACCTCCTTCTGGTTTCTGAATAAACACGATATTTGTCACCAGCTCTATCATCCAAGACGGGCGATCCTCAAAAGCCTGGATAATCCTCAAGACCCTGACCTGGTACTCTAGGGGCAGCCGCGGGATCAACTTAGGGTGGAACTGGTCCCAGCCGAGCCCCGCGCCCTCTGAGTAAGACCTGCAGCAGTCCTGAAACGCCTGCAAGGATATCGGGGGAAGCTGCCTGTCGCCTATGTCCCGCGACCCAGGGCCCACGGCTTCGCGCCCAGACAGCGCCCACATCGGCAGCCGCTCGTCGAGGAGCTGGGCTATGGCATCATCTCCGTTCACGGGGAGGCCCGAGGGATCCGGGGCGCTGGAGGGGGAGAGGCGCCTCTTCTTGGCAAAGGCAGGCGCAGCCTTCCCCCCCTTCAGCACAGCTTCCTTAGCCCAGGTCCCCACTTGCGTCCACGCTCGCGCGCATCCGCTCGCAGCAAAAAGGTAACGAAGCTGGCCAGCTCCGTCCGCAACCCGTCGTCTGGCCGCGACCCGCCCTCGCTGATCTGGCCGATCAAGGCGCGCAGCTGCTGCTCGCACGGGCGCTCCGCGCCATCCTGCTGCTTCTGCGGGGCTGGGGGGTCCTCGGCATACATGGTACCTATCCTGTCCAGAAGGGCGCTGGCCCAGCGTGAGGCCGCCCCAGCCCCGACGTCCAAGAGCTCCAGCAGACAGCTTCGAGCCCCTGAGGGCCAAGCCCTGAAAAGCCATCCAGCACGTAGTGGACGGGCTGAACCTCCGACGAGCCTCTCGATCCCAAAGGGCTTGCAGGGGCACAACCGACACCCGAGGACCCAACCCGCGGCCCATGTACGAACCACGCTGCTCATCGGGAACGCCGTGAAAGACCCCAGCCAGGCCTCGGAATTGTTGAACCATTCCCGAACAGCTCCAGGAACATCAGCAAGGACCTCGTCGGGCCCAAAGCTCCAGTCGGCCGACCTCGGGGCCGAGTGCGGGCCAATGCAAGGAGCCACGGGGAACTTCTTGAACGTCTTCGGCTTCCCGAACGAGGCCGTCCCCAAGATCCTTGAAGACCGCAATCACTGGCGCGTGCGGCGACGACGGGGCCGACTCAAGGGCCACGACCTTGTGGAGGCAATGCCTGAGGACCTTGGCGCCTACAAAGAAGTCGATCTCACTCCCCACCGTGACCCACTTATCCGCCCGGTCCTCGTCCACCTCCTTGTGCAGAGTGACGCACGTGGGCACGCTCGGCTGGAAGATTGCCCCTACCTACGACCGTGTTGAGCCACCCCGACTCGGACAACTCAGCTGGCGTGCAATTCCAGTCGCCCTGGATCAACCACGGGGAACCCTGGCCCAGGAGAAACACCGCCAGACCTTGGATAAGCTTCCAGTTAGCGGGCCCCTTCGGGCCCTCCTTCACGTCCAAGTAGATCGACGCAACCAGAAGTCCCCCTGGGAACCCAGAGTTGAAATTGCGGACGACGACGCGGTGGCTGAAAATCAGAAGGGGCTCGTCCAGAGCCACAGGGCACGAAGGAACATGAGACTGCACAGCAAGGGCGACGCCGCCTGAGCTCTCTGTAGGCCCAGCGCCCGTCGCAGCAGCGCGGCCTAGCTGGACTGCAAGACTGCGGTTGCTGCCCCAGCCGTAGGCCCGCTCCTCGGCCGTCAGCGCCTTCAGCCTGGTCTCCTGGATCGAAAAAACCTGAGGCGACGGAAAATCCACGCCCACGAGCTGCTTCGCCATCCCGTGGCCGTGGTCGACGTACCAGTCGTGGATGCCCTCGAAGCTGCTCCGCGCATTCGCGTTCAGCCCGAAAAAGACCAAACAGTTTCCACCCTGCTTCGGGCTCTCCTCAGCAGGATGGACTCGGACTCCAGCAACTCGTCGAGCTGCTCGCCGAAGACCGCGTTTTCCTACACCGCTACGGGCGCAACGTGGGGACAAGAGAGCATCATCATGCTCGCCGACCTGAACTGCAGCGTCGCCCTCGGGCTGGCCCACCTCGGGCGGGGCCGCGGTGTCGGGCTGGGAACGAACTACGCCAGCCGCTTCCCGGGCCGCCTCGCCCCGGCCCGAGCCCGGGCCACTGGCCGAAGCCGCTGCCGACCAGCTTGCATGAAGCGGCGCGCCCGCCGCCGCCGCCGAGGGGCACCTGGGAGGGGAAACGCTCCTCGCAGCACCCGCCATCAACGCAACATCGGGCCCCCCGAGCGCTGCTGCATCGAAGCCCAGGTTCGGCCACTCCAGGTCGACAGCGTTGGACTCCCAGAACCTGGCCAGCCCGCCTGCCGAGCTCGCGCCTGCCGATCCTGAGGAACAGGGAGCCGCCCCAGTCGAAGAACATATGGCGCCCTCTGCCCGACCCCCCGCACGGGCTGCCCTGGGGTCGGGGGCCCCGGCCGCGCAGGGGGCGGGTGAGTCTGGCGGCCGAGAAGGAGTGGCCGAACTCCCTGCCGACGCCCCTGAACGACTCGCACATGTGCCATCACCCTCTTCGTTGCCCCCCCCCCCCCCCTTCGCGGCTCAAGTCCCGACGCGGGCTGGCGCAGGGGTTCGGCCGAAGGGTGGCCTCCCACCAGCCATGGCTGCGACCCCCCACGCCGTCGTCGACTCACAGCAGGGCGGGTGGGCAGGCTGCCAAGCACAGGCCACTCCTCGTCAAAGGCGGCGGCGCTTGTTGGCTGTGTGGGCCGCCAAGAACTCCGCGACAGCAGCCTCTGGGTTCTCTCCCTCCATGGCCCGCCCGAGCCCAGCATGGAAGTCAGAGCCCTCGAAGTCGGCTGCTGACGGCGGCTGCGGAGCCCAGGCCTGGCCACCGCCATCGGCGCCTCCTGCGCCAGCACCAGCAGCGCCAGCAGGGGCCCCGCCGCCAGGAGCCCTTCCCCCCTCAGCTGCCTTGCGCTCCGCTGCCTCCTTGGCCTCAGGCTGCAGCCGCTTGAGGGTCTCGAGCGCCTGCTCCCCCTCCTCGTTGTCGACCGCCGTCGGGTCCAGGCCCGCCATGCCGACAGTAACTGGGTCGTCCACATCTTTGAAGTTGACCTTGTGGAGCATCTTCGCGCGGTGCTCCAAGTCATTCCTCGCCTCGGCCAGGGGCTCGGAGGTCTCGGCGATCCCCTTGAGGATATCCTGCTTCTGCGCCTCGAAGTGCAGGAGCTGCTCCTCGAGCTTCTCGACCTTCCGCGAGGCGTTCTCGACACGATGACGAGCGGCCAGCGCGGACGGAGGCTTGGACTCGAGCTCCTGGACCTTAGCCTCCTCGACCTTGGCGATGACAGCGGAGTCGATGCCGTGGCTCTAGAGGAAGCTGACAACCTGAGCGTAGGAGGGGCCATCGCCGCTTGCTCCAAGCGAGGGCCGAGCGCCGCCTCCAGCCCCGCCCCCGCCGCCGCTGGCTCCGCCCCCTTTCGAGAGCGCCGCCAGCTGCTGCTTGAGCTCCTTGACCTCTTTGGCCAGGCGCGCCTGATCGCCGCCGCTGGGGCCGCTGCGCCCCTGCTGGGGGCGCGCCGCCTTGGCTGCTGCAGCGCGGGCGTCTTGCTGGACCCGTGCTGGCGCAGCCCCTCCGCACCCGCGACACTTGATCCGGCTGGCCCAATTGCCGTTCTCGCCGCACTTGCCACACCCCCAGAAGGGGAACTTGGGGCCTGGCAAGACCTCACCATCAGCGCCCATGGAACTGGCGCGCACACTGGATGTATGGCTCGTGCCCACGAGCCGCTTCGAAGCACGCGGGCGCAAGCTCGAGCTGTTCGCACAGTCAGCCCGAGCCGAAACGGCTAGGAGGAGGAGGAGGCGGAGGAGGAGGAGGAGGAGGAGGAAGAGGAGGAGGAGGAGGAGGAGTGGTGGAGGAGGAAGAGCAGGATGAGCAGGATGAGCATGATGATGATGAGGAGGAGGATGAGGAGGAGGAGGAGCAAAAGGGCGAGGAAGAGGAGGATGAGGAGGAAAGGAAGAGGAGGAGAAAGAGGAGAAAGAGGAGACGGAGGAGGACGAGGAGGACGAGGAGGAGGAGGAGGCGGAGGAGGAGGAGTCGAAGGAGGAGGAGGAGGAGGAGGACGACGAGGACGAGGGGGACGAGGAGGAGGAGGAGGAGGAGGAGGAGGAGGAACACCAATCTAAACCCAAGAGTCATCAACGATGTTTGAATAATCCCTCCCTCCAACCTCCCTTTTCGTAGGCCCCTACGACGGTAAATTTCCACCGAGGGAACTGCCTCGTCGGAGAACAACCGTTTGAAGATTCGGAAACATGCCAAAACCTTGTTTTCGGGATTCCAAGGCCACGGATCAACCTGATTGTTGCGTCTTGGGGATCCGGAGTCGTGCCAGAACGCCATTCCTGGGATTTCAACGCCGCGTATCAGGACCAGGAGGATGAGGAGAAAAAGGAGGAGGAGGAGGAGGAGGAGGAGGAGGAGGAGGAGGAGGAGGAGAGAGGAGGACCGTTCCCCCCGTGGGTCTCTATATCAAGGCACCCGCCCGTCGATCGTCGGCCGCCGAGCTCTTCCGGCCGCCCCCCGCGGCGCGCCCAGCTCGGCGCACAGCGCGCGCAGCGTGCCGGCAGCTGCGGCCGACGCCCGCTCGAGCACGGGACGGAGGAGCGCGGCGTCCCCCGCGGGCGTCGGGCCCCCC